TTTCCGTTATATATCGTGTATGGTACTTCTAATTGCAGGTGTAGAAGCATTGTGCATCCTCCTTCGCCAATTGGCGTACCCCAATCGATTAACTGATTTGGTAAATTATTTCGGCCTTTCATCCACATACATATCTATCATACGTAAAAATGTGATGAATGTGATTTTGGAACAGAATGAGGAATTGCTATCGAGAATCCAATAGAATTATTGGCTTCACAGAGAGAAATTCGAATATTACGCACAGGTCAGAATCGTGATAGTTCATCTTCATACTTTAAAGTGTTTCATATTGTCACACTGTGCGGTACAATTTTATGTTATTGCTGCAAAAGAGTGTCCCATTACTAATTGCTGGGGATTTATAGGTGGTACTGCTAGAGCTATTTGCAGACCATCTATTAATCAAGAAAACTACTACTCTGCACACAAACGGAAACATTGCCTGAAGCATCAATCAGTATTGTGCCCAAATGGCATTATTGATAATCTTCAGGGCCCTTTCCATGGGAGAAGACATGATGCAGGTGAACATAAATGAATTATGAATTTAATAAAGATATTTTATTCCAAATTTTGTAGGTACTGTAGTGAAATTTTCTTTCATGTAGCAATGCAGTTGCTGCAAAGTTCAGTGTTCCCGGATAAGCAGTATGTTATATATGGAGACAGTGGGTACCCGAAAAGGCAATTACTACTTCGTCCATTTCAAGGTAGAAACATATCTGAGGATCAGCAATCATTCAATGCTGCTATGAGTGGACTTCGGCAATCAGTAGAATGGGGATTTGCCAAAGTTGTAAATGAGTTTGCCTTCATTGACTTCAAGAAAAATCAGAAACTCTTGCTGCAAGATGTAGGCAGCATGTACAAAATAGCAGTTCTTAGTAACTGCCATACTTGCCTTTATGGTAGTCAAGTTGGTAGGTTTTTTAGCACACAACTCCCCTCACTTGAGGAATATTTAAATGTATAGTATTTAGTCTAAATAAAGAAATGTTTCAAATCCACATTTTGTTTAATGTTCTTTAATTATGCATGTAAAAAAAATTCGAATTTCCACCTGTGTCAGTGGCCCTATCTCTGTTAGGTTTTTCTCATTTCCCTGATCCATTGAGCTAAAGCTGAGATGGACTCTTGTTCTAGTTTTTTTATTATAAATATCAAGAAATGAAGTTGTATTTCATGATTCAATTAATTAATTAATTTAATTTCAGGATTCAATCAAGCACAGACCGCACTTTGTATTAATTTATTGATTAAGAACAATGGCAATATTTTTATTCTTTTTGCTTACCATCTCCTGCTCATCTACAACTATAGTATATTATCCTACCGTAAAAATTCTTTTAGCTATTTAATATCTGAAAGGAAAATCAAATTCGTTTTTAGCAAATAACTTTAATTAGATCGCTGGTGAGGTAGATACCTTCCATTATTTAAGTATGATAAATAAAAGTCTTATCAATTTATTTGTTTGATAGTTTTGAATACATCTTGAAATATTGAGGGCATTTGAGAACAAATTCTCAAGCGTATTTTCATTAGGAATCAAAAAATTCACCTTTTTTTCATTTGAAATCAACATTCTTGGCAAATTTTAGTTAGATTAGAGACATAACAACCTAACCAACAATATTGGATCCTACAAATTTAATGCAAGTATATTCTTATAGAAGCACATTTTATATCAAAAAAGGACATGCCCT